CTAAATTTGTACTGGGGACCCAATCCGGATTGTTTGTATCCTTAAATTCTGCTGGACTACCTAAAAGGTATTAAAAGTTACCTACTTGCAAAAACATAAACAACTTTTTTGATATACCGAGATCGAACAAATTCGAGCATTTTCAACAACGTTACAGTCAAATCTCCCCTTTTGAGGCATCTAATTCACATACTCCGTTGTTTTTTTGATAGCTCGTTTATGCGATCCCCTTGAATGCCTAATGCTGCTCGAATCCTAAAAAAACTTTATCCCTTTCAGCGCTATTAGAGCACCCAAAAACGCCACAAAACGAAGGCATCTTCACAAAATAATACTTCAAAACTTCTCGGTTTGCAATGAAAATAAAACTAAATCAGGTTATGTTTGGCTTGTGTTTGCCCACGCCCCTCAGCTAAAATGGCGGATCGGTTATGACGTCAACCTGGAATGCCTAATTGTTTATGCGGTGTTGTTGCTTCTACTCTAAACCAGTGACAACATCGCTATTTTAAATGGAACACCCTGTATATGATTGCATATTTGGATTCTACGTAAAATTCTGAACAGATTTCACGAGATATACCCTATACCTAAATTCAACTGTTTTGGAAATATTAATAGTTGAAAATTTACTTTTTGCAACTTTGACAGGCTGTAAAGCCTCAACGGTTAATTTTGGAGGAAAACCGATTTTATATTCTTGTCTTATTTTTATAAACTATCATTTGACATCAACTGTGAATTTAATCCATGATTTAAAATTCCAATTAAACCTATTCTCCGGTTAAATTCAAAGTTGGTGTCAAATGATAGTTTATGAAAATCTAAGATAGGAATATAAAATCGGTTTTCCTCCTTTGAATTTAAAATTTTAAAAAATTTAAATCAGAAATACGCTGAAGCATTCGTTCTGTGTTTTGATCAAAGGTTTCCTGGTATTAAAAAAATGTTGTTTCATCGTCCACCAATTCCTTATATGTACTATATGTAGAGTAATAAATTCTCCTTCACTTTCTGGTTTCATCCAAACTTTATGTACCCATTTTCGTTTCTTTATTTGATTTTCTTCCTTTTTCTTGTCTATAGTCTGGCAAGTGGTAACTTGGTAGAGACGAAAGGGGGAAGAAAAGTGGGGCGTGACCTAAAAATATTCACTGACACCTCAACTGACACCGCCTGATGACAGCCATGTCTTTGAGTTCAGTGGCACCGAAAACACTAAGGAAATAAACCAATAAAATTATTAGAAAAAAAAACTCTAGTTTCGCCGATAACCACGCCACTGCGTGCTGTCGTTCAGGCTCTAACCAATAGAATCATGCCTCTGAATAATCACGCCTCTCCACATCAATCGTTTCGTAATGTTGCTGGATTTTTTTCTATTTCAAAATATTATACATGCCCATATAGCAAAAAAAAATATGTCACCAACTTGTTTATTATTGTTTCTGTCAAGTTTGGCAAAGCAGCAAATTCTTTTGGAGTTCGCCGTTTGGCTAGCCAGACAATAGAGCTATGGCAATAATAGCCAATTCTCTGTTAGTAAAAAAACCATCTCTGGATTCTGATATTTCATGATGTGTGTGAATTGTCACCACTGATGAAACACGGATAGCACTGATACTGAACTGACGCGGCACTGATACGGAACTGATGTGTGTGAATAGTCCTTAAACATTAATTTTCTTCAACCAAAGCCAAATTCACCATCGAAAAAAAATGAATTTAATTCAGTTAATAGATACGTTAACACAACATTTAATAGGTACCTATATTTAATAATTCAGAGGCGGTACAAAGTTCGCCGGGTCATCTAGTTTTCATATAAAATATAATATACATATATGGCAAAACACAAAAGGTCAGCAATTTGTGAGAGCTACCTACTAACAAAATAGCCAGAAAGATGAGAAAACATAACATCAAAAACAAACAAGAAGTAAAAATCAAAAATATGACAACAAAAAGGTTTAAACCTGTCCAAAATGAAAAACGCACACAAAAGAGAAATCACAAAGCTGATGGATAAACAAGGAAACATTATAGAAGACAGAGAAGGTATATTGCGATTGCGTGTGGCGGAAAATTTTTATAAGGAACTATACGACGTAAAAAGCAACAACGAAAATAAACAATAAACCGAGAGCGGAACGGGTGTTGGTAATTTGGTCACTAGATCAGGTAAAGTAATAAATGAGTAGGAAATTTGGTCACTAAACAGTTTTAATGGTACCTGAGGGACCGGCAATTTGGTCACCAATTTATTAGGGTCTAATTTTTTTTTTGTCAGGCAGTATAAACAGAAAAAAAGAGGAATATAATGCCCATTTGTAAAACCATGTACCTATGCGTATACTTTCAATCACAAGTACCTACTAGAAAAGATTCACAAAAAATATGCAAGAGATAATATGTAAGGGAAAGAAAGATGTGCGAAATGTTGAGAAGAAATAAATTAGAAATCAAGGAAACTACAATTAACGACCAAAATAAAATGCATGGCAGAAGAGTGGAAAACATATTTCGAAAAGCTATAGGTAGGTATAAAGTAAACGAGGAAAGTGACCTGCTGCTGAGACCAACAGAACTTAATTTGCTCAAAATACTCTAAATTATATGATAAGTATAGAAAAAGACCAGGCCCAAAGAAAAAACGCAGGAGAAACTTATAAAAAGAAACTCTTTTCATAAACATCATAGCAGATTAGATAATAGCAAAAAAATGGAAACGCAGCATAACGAAATCAGAAAACGCCAAAAAACAATCCCAGAGTATTATGACGGAACATTTCTCAACAGCACTCTCAAAGATTGCTCAGAAAGTTGTTGAAAAACAGTAGGTAAATCAATTTGAATATCCAAGAACTGAAATACCTAGCAGAAACAACTTATAGAAAGAGAACGAACGGTGGAAACTTATAAAATCTTGGACTGATAGATTCTTCAAAAATTCAGTGATATCATCTGTCCTTCCGTTCCTGTATATAAGAAAACTATTAGTTACCTAGAAATTATTGTTTGGGTATATTTTAAGCAATTGAGATTGCAGACCCAACAAATTAAACATTTCTGTTATCGCTGTCATATACATGAATTAGAAAATGACCTCTTTAATCAACCAAAAATATCTAAGTAAGTTCTATTAAAAGGTTAGGAATGTTTAATCATCATTATCATATTGTGTTACGGGTTATTTTCAGGGATTGAATTGGTATCGCTTTCCAAGCAATTTGATATTCAATATTATGAGCAATTTGTCCACTGAGTATTTTTGGCGTTCACCGTTCCTTAAATCTAAAAGAAAAACCCATTCTCGTATAATAAAGATAAATCCATCAAATTTAAATATTTGGTACAACTATAGGAGAAAGAGAGAGAGCCAAGTCGATGGTACCGATTTTATTTTCCATCGCTGTTATCTAGCAGGGACGGTACCGAATTTCAGGCATTTGCAAAAAATTAGGTTGATCATTCGTTTTTTGGCTGCGAAAGCTACTTGATTGACGCTAGCACGATTTGCTGATTTTACATTAGAATATCGGTTTTCCTTTTCCCAATTTAATTGCAGAATAGTTTTCTGAGTCTAAGCATAGATTGCTGATGTGATTTTGGGAAAAATCCTGGAAAATATTGGAAATTTTAAGATATTAACTACAAAACCACATGGTTTCTCTTTGAAAGGCCACCCTAGAACATTCGGTAAGTCTCATTTGTTCTTTCTAGCCTGTTCCGCTGCTGATACTCGTTTTTTTTTTATAGGCCTTCTTCTTTTATCTTGCGATTTTTTTAATTCCTTTGCTGGGAAAATCCACCTTGACCAGTTTCCTTGTCATTCTTGTCCTGGCAACTAAGGGAACTATCGTGAAACTGATGCACTTGCCTCAGTATCCTGGGATTTCTTTACGTCGGATGCCACAATTTATACCTACCAGATTCGGAATTACTGGGTACAGACATACAGACAGTATCAGATGGTCAAGAAAATGATACCTACCTGAACGGGTTTTGTGTATTGTACTGAACTGCTCCTGCTACCCATAAGGTCAGATCTTTCCATTTTTCTTATATAATTTAATTATCTCACGCCCTCAGCGTGGCTGAAAAACATTGAATGGTAACATACGTATTTAACTGGCAGTGTACTATTACCACTTTAGGGCCTCCTAGTTTTTAAGTTGGTTGTTTCGATAAAGTGCTGAAAACCTTACGAATGTACCTACACCAAATATATGCATATACGCGGTATTTTCTAATCACTGGTGATTATTCACAGTATTTTCAAGTTTCAAGAATATTTTGTTAACTTTTACATAAGTAGTTTATTCAAATTCGAATATGATAAACGATAAAATACTAATTTGATTTATGACATTACTGAAGGTGTAAAATTATAGTATTTCACTTCTTTAATTAAAGCTGCCACTTCGTATTTTGAATTTAGTGTTTCTTTCCCTTGGTTTATTACTTACTTGAGGTTCTTTCCCGTTTTGTTGGTTAGCACGATTACCTTTCTGTAGGGGTGAAAACGGGTGGCGCTATTATAAATTTATCTGAGCTATTTACCCTCGACCACTCTCCACTGCTAGCTAGGAAGGGCCTTTGTACCCCAAACAGGTAATTGTTCCGAACCGTTTAGGTAAACTTTTGGTTTAGTGCATTTTCAGCTAACATTATTTTTAGAATTCCACTCATTTTGCAGCGAAACAATATAATTTTGATATTTAGTTTTTTTTTACTCATAACAAATTATAATTTTTTTTTACTCTTAACAATTGCTAAATTTATCTAATCGAACTTTTTAAGATCCTTTTGTAAAGCCTACCAGACACTGATAAGCAGGTTCATGAAAAAAAAATTAATTCAATTACAATAAAAATTATTATGTAGATAACCAATATCACATAGATAACCATTTCATTTCCTAAAAAAAAATTCAGAGGTTAATTAGTTTTTCAGTGCCAAGCCTACCAGATACCTAATTCATTTTTTTTTTCTGGTAGGTACCATTAGGCATTTTTTAAGATGACTTCCGCGCTTATGATACTCAAGTCACTTTTGGTACTACTTCTATTTTGCAATGTGGATGGTGACACACGAATAGATTTCCGACCAAAAAATGTTACAGTTTACATGGGAGATACAGTTAATGTTTCTTATACTGTCCTAGGAATTGGTAAGAAAATTTTATACTAAAAAAAAGCACTAATATAAAGCTTCTGATGCGTTGTAGGTAATGGTACAAGTTGTTATTTATACAGCAATGATCCTCATATTGCGGATCTAAAATTTTCACAGACAATAAATAGTGTTAATCAGACTGGAGTATTTATTTTAGAAGGAAATTTTCTAGGTAAATTATAACCAGTCTTTATTCGATAGAATTGCTAAAAAAAAATTATAGGTGACACATTTATATCATGTAGAGACCCAATAAGTAACGACAGATCCTCAGAAAGTCAAATGTATGTGAGATGTTTAAGACCGGAAAGGGTTATTGATACAATTTTTACCGCCTCCACTGTAGTACTCGTTACAATAATTTATGTAAATTTTGGATGTGCCGTCGAATGGGGTGAACTAAGGAAACTATTAAAAAGACCTATCGGACCTATTATAGCCTTTTCTGGTCAATTTATTTTAATGCCACTTGTAAGCACAGTTACTTATACAGGGTGTCCCACCGAGAACCAATTCGATCTATTTATGAAAGTTTGACAGTATAACTAATGTCAATTTGGGCAACTCGGCTAAAATATTTTATATTTTTAAGATGGCGGCACTTCCAGTTATACTTGCTTATTTTAAATAAGACACCCTTTATATTATTTCAAGATTCTATAGAAGAGAATCCGTGTATAATGTCTTATACCTAAGCTATAAGTCTAAGCCAGTTTCAAAATATTTAATTTTTCATGTCAAAAATTGCATTTGCAGCTTTTGCAGGCACAAAATAAGTACCTAGTCCTGCCTATGAATTTTTTCTATAAGAAATATTTCATTTGACTTGATTTTTCTTTATTGGTACAGTTTTTCATATAAAGATCGATTTGGTTCCCGGTAGGACACCCTGTATATTAATTCGATTAGATTAGATACCTATAGGTATACATATTTCCATTCAGGTTACTTTTGGATTGGGATTTGTTCTATTTCCAAACGACCCTGCCATGAGATTAGGGATGTTTTTTGTGGGAGTATCTCCAGGAGGTGGTGCCTCAAACATATGGACTGCTATATTAGACGGTAATATTGATTTGTCAATTTTAATGAGCACAGTGAGTACTCTGGCAGCTTTTGGAATGATGCCTTTGTGGCTTTTTACACTCGGTGGTACTATTTTTGCTGATGCCAATACAGAGGTAAGAATTTTGTTGCTTCAAGTAGGTATCCATGTGCATTATTTTTTTTTTTAGGTTCCCTACTTCCAAATAAGTACCTATGTGATGGGTTTAATTTTTCCTTTGACTCTTGGTTACTTGATCCAACGATACCTAAAGAAATTTGGATCATTCTTAAAGAGGATCTTAAAAGGATTTTCATCTATACTTATTTTGTTCATCATTGTTTTTGCTATAGTGACAAATTTGTATTTATTCGAGTTATTTTCTTGGCAAGTGAGTACCTGCTGAAAATTGTAAGTAAATCCATAACAGGAGCTTATGTTGTCTCTCTATTACAGATATTTGTTGCTGGAATGGTTATTCCTTGGATGGGTTACCTCGCAGGTTACACAGTAGCCAAGCTACTAAAACAACCTTATCCAGATGCATTGGCAATTGCCATCGAAATTGGCATCCTAAATACCGGAATTCCAATTTTCTTGCTTAGATTTGCATTGGATCCGCTCAATGCGGATTTGACAACAGTTATACCAGTATCGGTGGCTATAATGACACCTCTTCCATTGATGGTCTTCTTCGTTTTTAGGAAAATTAAGCAAAGGTAGGTATTAACTTTGGTAATATTATAGCGGACATATTTACTAAGATGCCTCGATGACCGCGGCTACTAGTCCCTTGTAAATTGTTGTGAATATTTTTCTTTCTTTACCAACCGATTTTAAAATGGTAATTCGATTTTCGATTTGGGAAAATATTTAAAAACTGAAATTTCAAACTCAAGCCAAAAATTTTTACAGCAAAGATCTATTTATTTTATATAAAAAAAATGTTCTTCGGAAACTTTGATATCACTCAACTCTTTCACTATTCAATGGCAAAGTGCCTCTAGCTAGGTAATTTTCTTGGAAACATCAAACAGAGATCACCCATTAGGCGAGAACCTCTTACAAACGAATGTTCTATCTGACTTCAAATATTCTCAGTATCTACACTGATGAGCAATGTTCGCTGTACAGGGTGTCCCAAATTCGAGGGTGACCATTGAGATATCGGAAACTATAAGAGATACAAGGTCGGTTAAATTATGGCAAAGTTGCGCAATTTTATGACCAATAAAATGCCGTTTTGAAATTTGAAAAATTCCGAATACTTTTGAAGATACATATTCGGAAAAATGCGAAATTTTGCAAAACCCATTTTTATTTTTTCCTGAGTCTATTTGAAGAGCAATTTTAAAATAAATATCACTTCATCGTTGTCACTTTTTCCCCTTTACAAGATGTTGTCACAAATTTCAGATTTGACGTTTCGTCTTTGGGCGGCCATCATCAACTTTTTTTTTCAAATACGGACCTGGATTTTTTATTTCATATTTTGACAGCTTCTGATGTCCCAAAAACCTATGACGTATCGCATTTATTCGGAAAATTTATATTATTGGCACTTTCCATAAGAAATAAATGTGTTAGAGAGAGACAGAGAATAGAATTTTGGTAGGAAATTTCCAGTAGAAATATAACTAGTGCATAAAATATTTCCGGAAATTTTTGAAAATTTTGTCTGAAGCCAATTTTTTAACAAAATCATGAGTGCATAGCGCCTGAAAAAATCCCGAACCCGAAGGGTGAGGGATTTTTTCTTTGGCGCTATGCACGAATGGTTTTGTTTAAAAAAATTGACTAAAGACCAAATTTTTAAAAATTTCCCTAAGAAATATTTTATGTGGAAATATTCCTGGTGAGCGGGATATTTCCGGGTGCAATTTCCAATGCGACAATGCCGCGCGGCGTCTGTCAGAAACCCACCTTTAGGTTGTCATTTTTGGCATTGAGACCAGCTTTTCCATTTAAAATGCATTGATGTCAGAAATCTGTCAAAGTGTATATTTTTTGACAAACGCAATTTAAATGGGAAATATCAATAACAATCACCATCACAGAACACATCACCATAATTAAAATATTCGACACAACGTATAATGAATAAACTTCAAACTCGGGCAATTTCCTATCAAAATATAACACGTGCATAAAATATTTCCTGAAGGAAATTTTTTAAAAATTTCGTCTTCAGCCAATTTTTTTAAACAAAACCATTCGTGCATAGCGCCAAAGAAAAAATCCCTCACCCTTCGGGTTCGGGATTTTTTCAGACGCATGCACTCATTATTTTGTTAAAAAAATTGGCTTCAGACAAAATTTTCAAAAATTTCCGGAAATATTTTATGCACTAGTTATATTTCTACTGGAAATTTTCCTTGTGCAAATTACACTGGAAATTTTGCATACAAATTGTCAAAATTAACAAGTGGAAATTTTTGGAAATATCCCGGGAAAAATTTCCAGAATTGTCATTTTGACATTGATGCCCGCTTTTCCATTCAAAATGCATTGATGTCAGAAATCTGTCAAAGTGTATATTTTTATCAAACGCAATTTAAATGGGAAAGATCAATAGCAATCAGCATCAATAAAAAAATTCGACACAACGTAGTAAATAAACTTTAAACTCGGGAAATTTCCTATCAGAATATAACACGTGCATAAAATATTTCCTAATGCCCGTATTACATCTGTGTATTTTTCCGTGTATTTATTCATGTAGTTCAGGGTGCCAACATTATTTTGTTTTTCATAATGCTGATTTATGTTGCGTTTGAAGTTTTTTGGTTGTCACCCTGAATCTGAACTACATGAATAAATACACGGAAAAATACACAGATGTAATACGGGCATAAGGAAAATTTTAAAAAATTCCGTCTTCAGCCAAATTGACGTGTCCGAGGTTTTTTGAAAAATATTCACCCTGTATATTTTATAGATCAGTGTCGGACTGGGGGTCATTTGGCCCACCGGGCAAATGGTGAAGTGGCCCACCCAACCCAAACCCCATTCAATAAAAACAATTTTGATAACCATTTGTTGAATCTGGTACCTACCTAGTTGCATCATAGGCATAAAAAAAAATAAAGTCTGTTTTTTTTTTAAGATAAAAGTCAAAATGACATTATGTTGGCAATACAGTGTAAAATTGTCCATGCTTTCAAATGCTTTATGTAGAAAAGGCTTGTGTTGCCAACATAGTTACTAAATTTGTAATTTGGGGAATTATCTTTAAAAAAAAAACAGACTTTAGGTATCTAGGCCATTTCCGAATCCAAGCGACAGTAAATGACATTAAATAACCTAAATTGTAAGCAAAAACCTATTGGTTGAAACGCCCTACCTGAACCAGTGCGCATACACGGATGATATTTGATAGGTTGTAACCAGTTATGTCATTACTGCCGCTTGGATTTGGTTTATCTCTAGATTTGGTTCAACCATAGGTACTTAAGGTTTACTCCACCTACCTCTGCTTATATTTTGTTGTTAATTACCGATGTAGTATACAGGGTGGTCCTTCGGGAATGACATCGATTGCTTATGGGAAAACTGTGAAAGGTAAAAATTTGAAAATTTGGCAACATAGCAATGTCGATGGGGGACATCTAGGTAAAATATTTTCAAGATGGCGGCATTTCCGGTCATACCGGAAGTTGATACCAACTCGGTTATTTTAAATAGAACACCCCATATATTAATGTATTTTTGGATTCTACATAAAATTCTGAGCAGATTTCATGTAATATACCCTATACCTAAGTTCAACTGTTTTGGAAATATTGACAGTTGAAAATTGACTTTTTGCAACTTTGACAAGCTGTAAAACCTAATTGGTTAATTTTAGAGGAAAACCGATTTCACATTCCTATCTTAGATTTTTATAAACTATCATTTGACATCAACTTTGAATTAAATCCATGATTAAAAATTTCAGTTAAATTTAATCTCCGTTTAAGTTCAAAGTTGGTGTCAAATGATAGTTTATCAAAATCTAAGATAGGAATGTGAAATCGGTTTTCCTCTAAAATTAACCAATTAGGTTTTACAGCTTGTCAAAGTTGCAAAAAGTCAATTTTCAACTGTCAATATTTCCAAAACAGTTGAACTTAGGTATAGGGTATATTACATGAAATCTGCTCAGAATTTTATGTAGAATCCAAAAATACATTAATATATGGGGTGTTCTATTTAAAATAACCGAGTTGGTATCAACTTCCGGTATGACCGGAAATGCCGCCATCTTGAAAATATTTTACCTAGATGTCCCCCATCGACATTGCTATGTTGCCAAATTTTCAAATTTTTACCTTTCACAGTTTTCCCATAAGCAATCGATGTCATTCCCGAAGGACCACCCGGTATAGTTTGTAGTTGTATACAGGGTGTCCGGAAAGTCAACGATAATACTGAAAGGGCTGGTGGAACAACTCATAAGCATCCAGAAAAACATATGACATAATATGACATAGGTATGACCTTGGTAAAAAATCGATGGTTTTCGAGATATTGCCACTTCAATAAAATTCGTTAAATCGTCCTTTTGGATCAGATTTTCACCTAAAAGTTATTATTATTCTTGGATTTTGGATTCAAGATGCATTAAGAAGTCGTTTTTCAAAAGATGCCGTTTCTGCATTCGTGTTGGTGATAATGATAGTTTATTAAAAACTAAGATAAGAATGTATGATCGATTTTGCTGTAAAATTAACCGTTCAGGTTTCACAGTCTGTCAAAGATGCAAAATAGTCGATTTTCAACTGTCAATATTTCCGAAACAGTTGAAGATAGGTATATGACATCGTACAAGAAATATGTATAGAATTTTCCACAGAATCCAGAAATGACATAATATACAGGGGGAGTTATTTAAAAAAAAAATACTTTGTCACCACTACTTATTGGGCTACCCTGTATACTGGAAAATAATTTAGGAATGTAGCACTCATGTTCATCTACAAGTTTTGTATTTAGTTTTTTCTTCGATCTCTGTTAATATAGCAAATATGGACTACCGCGCGGTGTATAAAAACAAACAAATCAAAACCAAAACCAATGTGAGGCTGTGGCTTATTTACAAAATTCACTACCCTGTCTCTGTATTTCTAAAAATCAACAACGGGTACGTCAGTTAAATTCAAATTCACTGATTCACCCGCGGAGGGCGATTTCTACGCCACTTTGGCTTGAACTTTTTCAGAGCAGAAGGGAGTTGATATTGATATGATAGTTGATTTTTTATAAGGACGGTGAATTACGCGATATAACGTATGCTTTGATGATCACTGGCGTGGGGAGTGGAATATTTAAATTTATTTTTATAAATATTCGAATGGCCCACCTGTCGAAGACATCACCTGGCCCCAAGGGCGAACCCAGCGAGGGGCAGGGGGGGCAGCTGCCCCTCCCTAAAAATTTTTATAAATTATAAAAAGGCTTCGCTAAGTGCAGAAAATAAAAAAATCAAAATAAACCACTATGGTTTTACTAAAAAAATTACAAACCCGAAAAATATACTACTAAATACTACTAAAATATATTCATATACCTACGTAAGTCAAACGCAGCGCACTGCACAGCCTACTAGATTTGCAATTAGCGGAATTAGGAAAGAAATATGAATTTTCTATTACGATCCTGGCCCCTACGAATTTGTTGTATTGTGTTGTTTTTCTAACGGAATTCGATTATTTTCATTTGTTATTCAATGTTAATTTGTTTGT